TTTTTTTTTTTTTTTTTTTTTTGGGGTTTTTTTTTTTTTGGGGGGGGGGGGTTGTTTTTACACATTTCCTGTGAAAGCCAACTGGCAAATAACAATGAGCTTCTTTGGCAACTACAACATAGTTAATAATACAATGTAGCCACAGTGTAATTACTGTAACAGTTCCCAGATTCACACAAGTTTAGGGCTGGAATGGACTTTGTGAAATTATTGGGTCTAGCCCCCTGCTCTGGGCAGGAAAGACTGCTGGGGTCAAATAACCCTTTCAAGGTGTTCATCCAGTCTCCTTTTGAAGACCTGCACCGCCCCCGCTGGGAGTCTATTCCAGAGTCTGGTCTAGTTTGACCATTTTTCCTGGTTTTTCCCTGGGATGCTTTGGTGAATAGTTGTTTGCCTAGCCCCTGATGCTCTCCCCCAATATATTTGTAAGCTGCCACCAAATCCCCCCAAAGTCTTCTCTTTTCTAGGCTGAACAGTCCCATATCTGTCAGCCTTTCCTCATATGGCTTGATTTTTAGGCCTCTAATCATATGGGTGGCTCTTCTCTGGAATCTCTCAAGCTTCTCCACATCCTTTTTGAAGTGTGGTGCCCAGAACTGGATACAGTACTCTAGCTGCAACCTAACCAATGTAGAATAGAGCAAAAGAATAAACTTCCTTAGTTTTGTGTTTGAGATGCATCGGTTGATGCATGTCAGCAGATTGCTTACTCTGCTAGCTGTTGTATCACACTAGTGGATCACAGCAAGTTCCATCTTGCTGACATGAGGATAAGAAGGATAGAGATGGCTTGGCCTGCTCTGTCCTTTATGCCTTCAAGGAGGGCAACATGAAGATATCTAGGAAGCAATAAGCCTAAAGATGCCAATCTTACATACACAGATAACATGTACTCCACGAGTAGAGTACTTGTGGACAAATAGTCAAATAACTACTATGCATTGTTACCCCAGAACTCTTAGGGCCTCACACCAAATGAATATATAGTGCCAGCCTGGATGCAATCAGACAGATGACACAATTTGTTTCTTCACTATGTAATCAGACTACAGCCACTAAGGCTAAGGGCTCTTGCACACTTCTTTAAGATGAAAACCCTTCTTGCTCTGGATGATAGGCTCCCTATCCAGACAGATTTCTGAAGTGAAATACATATTCCTATCTATTGTACAGAAATACCACACTCATAGCAGGTCCAAATATAGTATTAATACCTATTGATGAAATAGTAAAATTGTACTTTGCTTGCCCAAAAAGGCTCTAAAGAAGGCAAAAGGTGACAATACAGCTGTTTTTCAGTAGCCATGGGCTAGTGGAGAGAAGTGGCTCTTTAGCATCATAAACTGCATGAGCTTGAGGTTTCTGCTAAAAATACAAATTTCAAAATGCAATATTTTAAGTGTTCAAAAATAGTAAGTTCACAAACAGCCACAGAAAGTTAAGTAAAATACAACATGTGTGTCAGCTAGCCCCTGTTCTCAATTCTGGACAGCAGAAAAGCATGTCTATATGAAGCTATTCAGAAACGTGTTTAGCCCCAACTCATTCAGTGTTTAAGAAGTTTTTGCATCCTTCATGAATACTATACCCCTTCACTGGCATAAGCTTCATAAGAAGGGTTCTCTCTCCTACCCAAACAAAGAACAGAGGAAACCTAGTGCTACTGAAAATGCTGCACCCTGCTCATATAATGTCAGTGCTACAGCAATCAAACTCAGGATTAACTACTGTCTGCTTGTCTAGACAAATAGAATTTTTTTTCCTCATTTAAAATACCTAATATTCTTACAGAACATTTTTCATAATGTATTCAGAAAAAAAATGAAGGCTACAAGTAGTCAAAATACAGGTAGATCAAAGTAAAGTTAAGCACACACACATAGGGCCCAAATGTTAACTTTTTAGTATTTCAGGAAGGACAATTTGGCCATTTTTTTAAAAACTAGGAGGCTCAGCTAAAACAGCTGAGGATGTCATGGGGTCAATTTTATAAAGTAAATTCTCATAATGAAAATTTGTTTAGGTATGAGGGAGCTGAAGTAAATCAGTCAACACTCATAAAATAAGCTGGCCCTGCAAGCAGGCTGAATGAATTTAGCGAGAGACCTGATACAGGAAATCATTCTTGTACCTGCTTTAAACCCAGGCAGGGGAGTAATCCCATGGAAGACTCTACACACACTTATTTTAAGTCCACACATACTTATCCTAAGCACAGTTGCTTACATGCTATCCAGGATTAGGGATCTGAATAACTACTGTGATAGACTGTTTTGAATCAGAAGACAGAGAGAATTGTAGAACAGGTTCATGTACATACATATTTGTAAAGCACAAGAGGGGTTAAAACGATTTTCTGGATTCACTTTGTAAGGTACACAAGGGAAGGATTCTGTTCAAGTGTACCTAAAGATGCACTGCTCCCAACATACTCTGAAGCACGAAAGTATCCCTGTTCACAGAAGCACTTAAAAATGTGGTCAGAGTATTACACTATTGAGCAATGCCCTGCATCAGGGTGTAAGTTTTCAAAAAATTCACTCCTATGGAGTTTCTCTAGGCTAATAACATAAGGCAAATAATTCCAAGTTATTGATTTAAAACATTTTTGCTTTTTTGACCTCACAGGAGGAAAAAAGTCTCTGAAATACAAAGAATGGATTTTTTCTGCAATTATTACTTTCCTCAGTCTTAATCTTTTCTCTTTAAAGAGAAAACCCTATTACAATACTGAAAATATCTATAAAGAACAAGGTTCTTATAACATTAAGCACTACAAACACCAAAACTGTGATTACACATCAAACTTAACCCTGTCCCTTTGTGAGTTGGCTTTCAATACTGACTTTACAGATTATTTTATTTTATTTTTTTTTGAGAAATGTGATAAACACAGTTACATTTAAAGCTACATTAGAAGTCAAGGTTGCAAAGACAAATACTGAATATTCTAGAATTAAGGTTGCCTGAAATAAGTGAACCACTCAAAAATGCTAAATTATAGCAATTATTAAGCGAGTGCATTTGCAGCTGAACAAGCTGAACAGTATAATTCTACTTGTAAAAACAATACTGTAATTATGTGTGTCACTCACCGTACTTTTATCTTTCAGGAGTTTTTCTATCACTTCTATCAACATTTCCTTTTGCTCTGGATCAAGGCTGAAAACAAAAACAGAAATAAAGGACAACATTTATTCATTTAAAAATAAAGTTCTTTAATACTTTATGGTCAGGTTTGTACCTAACATGAAAATCAGCCAAGCTAGCTTGATGTGGAAAAGAAGAAACAGCATGAAGACAAAAAGCCCAGAATTATTTTCAAAGCAACATGTGAAAGAGAAAAAACAGACCAGAGACTTCAATAATTATAATATGGCAAGAAAGTTGTTCAGATTCTTATTTCTATAGTATGCAGGTAAGTAACTGATTAACAGGGATCCACATTTTCCAAATTCATAGATTGTTAGGGGCTGGAAAGGACCTTGCAGATTATCGGGTCCAGCCCCACCCCACTCTAGGCAGGAAGACAACTGGGGTCAAGTGACCCCAGTGAGATGACTCTCCAGTCTCCTCTTGAAAACCTCCAGGATAGGTGACTGCACCACCTCTGAAGGGAGTTTATTCCAGTCTGGACACGCTGACTGTGAAGGAGTTTTTCCTGGTATTAAGCCTAACGCAGCCTTCCAGGAGTTTGTATCCACTGATCCTGGTCTTCCCCAAGGGTGCCCTAAGAAACAGTTGTTCACCAAGCTCCTCATGCACTCTGATATACCAGTAAGCTGCTATCAACTCCCCTCTCAACCTTCTCTTCTTTAGGCTAAAGAGGCCCAGGTCCCTCAGCCTTTCCTCGTATGGCTTGCCTTGCAAGTCCCTGATCATACAGGGTTCTCTGGACCCTCTCAAGCTTTTCCATGTCCTTACTGAAGTGCAGCATCCAGAACTGGATGCAGTACTCCAACTGCGGTCTCACCAGCGCAGAGTATCACATCCTTAGTTTTACACAAGATGATCATCTGATGCATGCCAGCATGTTATTTGCCCTGACCACTGCCTCGCACCAACGGCTCATATTCATTCAATGGTCAGTCATTATCCCTGGGTCCCTTTTGCCCGTGGTGCAAGTCAAACTGTCACCACTGAGCCTGTATGCATGTTGAAGGTAGTTTGCCCCAGATGGAGCACCTTACACTTGGAAGTGTTAAACTACATCTGGTTCCAGTCTGTCCAACTCTTGAGCCTGTCCAGGTCTGCCTATACCTGCAACCTATCTTCTGATGTGACCACACTGCCCCATAACTTGGTGTCATCCACAAACTTGGCCAGTGAGCTTTTCACTCCCCCATCCAAATCACTGATAAAGATGTTGAAAAGCACTGGTCCAAGCACAGACCCCTGAGGGACACCACTGGCCACTTTGCGCCAGGATGACA